GAGTGTAATCACACAAGATTGAGCATCCTGAGTAAATGTGTGTGTACGTGTGTAAAGAAAGATAGAGACAGTCATAGATGGATATAGAAACCAGGCTAGGCTCAAAACACAGCAGGTTAGACGGCAACTTGTAAACTGAGCTAACCTCAGGTGGTTATATAAGCAGTCTGAGCTGCATTGCTGGGGCCTTTTGAGGGTTTTTAACCTCATTCACTTCATATTAAGGCTCACTGATGCAAAGTTTATTCCCCTCCTGGAACATAAATACTTCTAACATTTCCCAAAGTTCCAACAAACAGGACTAACTGAGACTTAAATCTGAAATTATTTTAAGCAAACTGTAAATGGAAAATTATAACTGGCTGTGCACCTTTAGTGACATAAAAGAAGATTGGCGGGTATCAATTAGCTCGTACTTTATTTTGTCTTTGCACAAAAACAAGACAATTGTAATAGTCATAGCTCTATGCATCTGTCCTGCTCTGACCTAGATAAAGTTTACCACTATCCTAAAATCATGCAAAGAGTAGAGGTGCACTAATCCAGTTCCGATCTGACCCAATACCTGGGCTGTGTGTATTGGCCAATATGCAATACCGATCTGTGTTACCGTATTTTCACGAGCATAAGGTGCACCGTACTAAAAGGCGCAGTCTCAGTTATGTGTGCCATTACTGTATTTAACACACACATAAGGCGCACCGGATTATAGGACGCGGGTTTTATATACGGGTACATATCCTCTACTACGTTTAAATACCTCTACTGCGTATTTAAAAATAGAGCGGGAGCAAAACTGAGTATGATTGTGCTTTATTCATGTATTTATGACAAAGTATTAATCAAACCCATCAAAGTCATCATCCTCCGTTTCTGAATTAAACAGCTGCGCTAAATCAGACATGCCAATTTCCCCTTCTTCGCTGTCAGAGTCACTTTCCGTGCCGTGCGGCTCCTCGGAAATGATGCCGGCTTTTGCGAAAGCTCGAACAACAGTGCCAGCAGAGACGTTAGTCCAAGCATCTACAATCCATCCGCAAACTGTGGCGTAACTTGCCCGGCGCTGCCTTCCACTTTTCGTGAAACTGTGGTCTCCGTCGGTCATCCATCGCTCCCACGCCGCTCGCAGCCTTACTTTGAACGGCCGGTTCACACCGATGTTGAGCGGTTGAAGTTCCTTTGTCAGACCTCCCGGAATAACAGCGAGCACAGCGTTAATTTGTTTCACCTTTTTTTCACATCGGCTGTGAGATGGGCACACATGGAGTCACAGATTAACAGCGATGGTGATGCGTGGAAAAAACCACCTGGTCTCCTAACATACACCTCCCTCAGCCACTCTTTCAACATCTCCTCATCCATCCAGCCCTTTTCATTTGCCTTAATAACGGCTCCAGCTGGAAAAGTCTCTTTAGGCAAAGTCTTTCTCTTAAAAATCACCATAGGTGGCAGTTTCTGTCCATTTGCGTGGCAGCCAATCCACACCCACATTTCCCCCTTTAACGTTCTCATGGTGGTCTCAACAACGGTCGCAGTAACAACACACATAGGGCGCACCGCACTATAGGGCGCGCCGCACATTTTGAGGGAAAAAAAAAGACGTTTATATTCGCCTTATAGTCGCAAAAATACGGTAAATGAATGAACCATGTGAGTGAAAGCTTTAACCTTGACATAAGCATGAAAAAATTAACAGATATAAATGCATTTTATATTATTTATCAACAATAAAGCAGCAGAAAGAATTACCGGTTCCATTTAAAATGCACTAAATTGGATCTCCAATATCCGATATCAAATCACCGATATCTGATCCAGGTATCAGATTAATGTTAAGGTTTTCACATACACATTTTTCAAAATATGTTATATAAAGTTCCCATAAACAGGTCTCATTACCTTCCAGACATCTCACACCCGAAAACAGGTTCTCAGTGAGTAAGATAAGCCTCAGTAAAGACTTTTGTGCAGTAAAGAAAATAGAACAAGCACTCTTAGTCAATGAAATATTGGAATAAATGGAAAATACAATTTTCCCACCACACAAACTCAGTTGCTGCAGTTCACTGCCTGCAGCACATTGGAAAGAAAAGTTGTCTTGCAAAGTTGCAGGGTCAATACCAGCTTTCTGCTGTCGGATGCTAATGTGCCCCTGGGCAAAGCAAGTACCTGTTAGTCGCCTACTGATCTGAGTATTGGTGCATGAATGTGTTTGTGTGCCACAGGGGGAATGTGGGTATAGTGTAAATCTGTTTCAGTGGCAAAAAGACGCCTTATATACACAGTCTTTTAAGAGTTTATATTTACAGCTTTGATGGACTAGTGGCTTTTTTAGGGTGCATTGGCCAAAAACTAATGGAAATAGCCACCAGTGCCCCGATGACCCTGCATGTATAATCAGTATAAGAGTAGATGGATTCCCAGCTGTTATCAAACATCATGACAAATAATTTCAACAAATTTTAAGTTTAAAAACAACATTAACATTAACTAAGGCGAAGCTTTACACACTAAGCCAGAGGTCTTCAACGTTTTCTAGGCCAAGGACCCCCGAACTGATGGCGAGATGGAGCGGGGACCCCCTAATTATATATATCGTATGAAATGATGTTATATTGGGTTTATTAAAGTATTTCTGATTCTGATTCCTGGTTGATGGGACAGGTGTTGTGAATGAAATGGTGCCCAGCTTGAAAGAGCTCCTGGGTGTCGCTGAATGTGTGGATTGTTGAATGAAAGACATCTTCTGCCTACATATATCTACTACAGTGTGTTTTAAAGACATTGCAATTAGTGGAAACAATTGCAGGGGGGAATATAAAAGAAAATCTTAATCAACTAAATCTTTCGCGACCCCCATGCAGTACCTCTGTGGACCCCCTAGGGGTCGCGGCTCCCCTGTTGAAGACCTCTGCATTAAACCTTATAAGGTCAGAATTTCCTTACCAAGTTGAACCTTAATAACACATTTTGTTGCCATCAGAATCTTCTGGTGTAGTTCTGGGTGGATATTTGTACTATTTGCTTAGCAGAATCGGCGGAGTAATATTATTATCTAAAACTATCAGGCTTTAAAACCATAATCAGAAATATTCAACATGACTTGGCTGCTTTATGAGGGACTGGTGCACTTCACAAATAGATGGCCTAATGGAAAGGTTAAATGAGGTGAAATACGGAATCAACCTCTGAAGACATAAGTTAAGTTTAAATGTTTAAGAGTTTTTGAGACCTCTACATCATCATTATAATATTTTATTTTTGTTAAGGTTAATTCATAAATTAGATCAGAATTACAATTAATCACACAGAACTTCCTTATGTATCACAAATGATACAAAAAACTTCTCTAATTTAACATATTCAGAATTTATGTTTTTTTTTTCCATTTGTCAGAATGTTCAAAGATATTTAAAAAAAAGTTAAAGTTTGGGTATGGAGGGACTTTTAAGCAGACAATAACCTTAAACTTTTGTTCAGATTAGTTACGAAGTGGCTTTAGGGCAACAAAGTAATTTCGACCTCAGTCACTTCGAGAGCCTTTCGGCAAGGATGAAAGAATTTGAATGCATTGATTACTTATGTTCTGTCAGGAGGAAGGGGCCAAAATTACACAAAAAAAAAAAACACCAGGAACATTTTAGGTTTAAAAGCTGAAGCTGCAGAGGACGAATACAATTATCGGAGAATATTTAGTTGTATTTCTAGCATTTAGCATTAATAGTGTTAGTAATTTGTCTTAAGTCGAATACATTTAGTCTGAATATATGTTAGACAGTAAACAAAATAAAACATAAAGGTCAAATATCTTTTTCTACAGTTTATGCAAACATCTGGTTAATTTCTTTTAACTTTTAGCCACTATGGCTAATTTTGACTCTGTGTGGATCAGAGAAACCCACACGATATTCAATCTAGTCTCTTTAAAAACCTTTGCAGCTGTGTGTTGCATAATCATTCTGCCTTGGTTAAAATAAAAACTTAAAAAACAGTAAAAGCGCCAAACTACAGATGTGGGTCTTTGGGAAACATATATTCAGGTGGAAATAAAAAAACAAAAAACAAAAGACACATTTAACATTTTTAAGAAATAGGCATTTAGTCTTTTTTCTTAGCTGACCCCAATGACCTGCAATGTAAAACAGTTGTTAATCACCTCTAAACACACTTAAAAAAAAGATAAATTAATTTTTATTTGTTACTTACTTTCCATCATGTACAGCCATAAACAAAACTGCTCAACACATCAGTAAGGATTTGGTTCATGTAGATCAGTTTGCATCAAACTGCAGTTCTAAGCGAGTCCATTTGTCTTGGAGCGGATCTGGATATCATGTTGAGTTTACATAATCAATAAAAGCTCATAGAACATTAAGAGAAAAGAGATTTCAAACTCATTTTAAGCAGGCGTTATTATATTACAAAACCAACTATTTAGAAGCCAGATTTGATAACTGATTATATTTAGTCATCCTTACTTATATAAGAGGCTTATCTAATCCAATTTATCTATTTTTGTTAACTATTGTCTCTGGTTATCTTTGTTCTCAACTCCATCATTCTTAATTTCTTTCTATTTCGATCCGTTTCTTTCAATCATGGCCGCCACCAACAGATTTGGCCTGACTTCCTTTGAGAATGGCCCTTCCTGTTAATTTCCCTGTCTTTCATTCTAGCCTCCTCAGTCTCTGTCCTCCTCTGGCCTTATACGATTTATCTAATCTAATACTGTTTTGTCAGCTCCTCTTATCCTTTTTCCTCTCTTTGTCTCCCTTGTGCCACTTAAATCCTTTTTTTTGTCTATGACCCTAATGCTCCTCAATTATTTCTTATTTATCATCATCCAATGAAAACCATTTTTTTTATTTAATTTAGTTTTGCACTCTTTTTCATTTTTATAAGTCCTTTCGTCCAATTCCCCACTGATTTCAGTGTACTAATTTCCATTTCTTTTCCCTCCATCCCTTTTCCCTTTCCTTCCATCCTTTTTTAACCAACAGGGGGGTAATTCGTGTGGACGTGAATCTGCAGGATGTGGATATTGACCAGTGCTCCAACAGTGGCTGGTTTGCTGGGACTCATCGCTGTAATCTAACCAGTATGGAGGTCAGTCTCCTTCCATTGCACTTTGCAAAAAAAAAAAAAAAAAAAAGATACAGAGATTCTTATTGTCTTATGCCGTTTTATAATTTTATGGGAGTATAGTGCCAAGTATCCATATTGTCATGTTTCAATACCAGCTATTAACATCTAGAGAATATAATATTTTTCTTTCCTCTTTTTCAAATTAGCTCAAGCAGATTAAATGGAGAGTTTTTCTAAATAATTGCATTGAAGCTCTGGTTGTTTGTTTAGCGCTGTTGTCTTGCACGAAGGTAAACTAAACTCTTTCAAGCTTTAACAGTCGTTCTACCAGAATATTTCTGTATTTAGTTTTCTCTACCTTCCTTTGCGTTTTTTTATGGATTAAACAAATTATGATGTCTGCTGTACCAATGCAAGCTTTTCAGAAATTTGCTTTTTCCAAGGCTTAAATATATTTTTGTGAGGCAGTGTGAGTCAGCTCAATTGTCCTAATATTAAATCTTTATTTTAATCTCTTTATTTTTATTCAGGCTCAGTCATTCCTGTTCAAGATGTCCTCTCCACGATGCTATGAATAAGAAATATTCAATCATTCAAGCGAATGCTTAAAAAGATAATTTGGCTGTAGCCTTTTTTTTGCTTGACACCACTTTACTCACTTTGTGAGAATCAGCTGAAAGAGGAAAGCCATCATTCTGCTTACAGAAAGAGTGAAAACCATAAAAAAGCTGGTTATACTGAAAGCTTTATAGATCTGTGCTGCTGAGATATGGATATTTTTTTTTAGCATAGATCCTCTAAAACCTGTTTTATTGCTGGTGTGCATCCTGGTACCTTGAATTCTTTTTTTTTTTTTTTTTACACAAAACAAAGAAAAAAAGTTACACAATAGCAATCTGATGGTTTTACCTGACTCAATAAATCATCATCTGAGCTCATTATTTAAGGCATCCAGTTATAATTTGTTTTATTGAAGATTAAATGACATCACTATGAAGTAGGAGCAAAAATATTTTGGACAAATGAAAGTTTTCTTAACCAAAAAAACAACAAAAAACAGTAAACTGGAAACTGGACTGGAAAGCTGGTCAGGTTCAGATGGATGGAGGATGCAAAAAAAATAAATAAAGGATACTCCTTTGGGTTTCAATGAATTGTTTTACCTTTAAGATCGAATGTGTTAAAATACTCTAGTTAGTCCAGATCTAAGCCAATTTCTATATTTAGAAGTATTAGAAAATGGATGTTCTGGAGTTATTCCCATCTACTTTGATTAGGCCTTTTTCAGAATAAACCAAAATTGTACACGGCTGACTTATTTAAAAAAATATTTAAAATTGAAATTACATCAAAAGATGGTTTTGATTCAGTTACGCAAATTGATTTAATGCTTTTCTGATTTATATCATACATTGGAAAGGATAATGTAAAAATATATATAAAACACATAAATTTTATCTCTACTCAACTGTGAAATATTCCAATGTTTGAATATTTTTTCAAGACTATACAGGTGCTGGTCATAAAATTAGAATATCATGAAAAAGTAGATTGATTTCAGTAATTCCATTTAAAAAGTGAAACTTGTATATTATATTCATACATTACATACAAACTCATATATTTCAGATGTTTATTTTGTTTGATTTTGATGATTACAAATGACAACAAATGAAAATCTCAAATTCATCATATCAGAAAATTAGAATATTACTGAAGACCAATAAAAACAAAGGATTTATAGAAATGTTGGCCAACTGAAAAGTATGAACATGAAAAGTATGAGCATGTACAGCACTCAGTATTTAGTTGGGCCTCCTTTGGCCTGTATTACTGCAGCAATGCGGCGTGGCATGGAGTCGATCAGTCTGTGGCACTGCTCAGGTGTTATGATAGCCCAGGTTGCTCTAATAGTGGCTTTTAGCTCTTCTGAATTGTTGGGTCTGGTGTATTGCATCTTCTTCTTCACAATACCCCATAGATTTTCTATGGGGTTAAGGTCAGGAGAGTTTGCTGGCCAATTAAGAACAGGGATACCATGGTCCTTCAACCAGGTACTGGTAGCTTTGGCACTGTGTGCAGGTGCCAAGTCCTGTTGGAAAATGAAATCTGCATCTCCAAAAAGTTGGTCAGCTGCAGGAAGCATGAAGTGCTCTAAAACTTCCTGGTATGTGGCTGCGTTGACCCTGGACCTCAGAAAACACAATGGACCAACACCAGCAGATGACATGGCACCCCAAACCATCACTGACTGTGGAAACTTTACACTGGACTTCAAGCAACGTGGATGAAGTGCCTCTCTTCTTTTCCTCCAGACTCTGGGACCTTGATTTCCAAAGGAAATGCAAAATTTACTTTCATCAGAGAACATGACTTTGGACCACTCACCAGCAGTCCAGTCCTGTTTCTCTTTAGCCCAGGCAAGATGCTTCTGACGCTGTCTGTGGTTCAAGAGTGGCTTGACACAAGGAATGCGACAGCAGAAACCCATGTCTTTTATACGTCTGTGTGTGGTGGTTCTTGAAGCACTCACTCCAGCTGCAGTCCACTCTTTGTGAATCTCCCCCACATTCTTGAATGGGTTTTGTTTCACAATCCTCTCCAGGGTGCGGTTATCTCTCTTGCTTGTACACTTTTTTCGACCACATCTTTTCCTTCCCTTCGCCTCTCTATTAATGTGCTTGGACACTGAGCTCTGTGAACAGCCAGCCTCTTTAGCGATGACCTTTTGTGTCTTGCCCTCCTTGTGCAAGGTGTCGATGGTCGTCTTTTGGACAACTGTCAAGTCAGCAGTCTTCCCCATGATTGTGTAGCCTATAGAACTAGACTGAAAGACCATTTAAAGGCTTTTGCAGGTGGTTTGAGTTAATTAGCTGATTAGAGTGTGGCACCAGGGGCCATCAATTTTGAACCTTTTCACAATATTCTAATTTTCTGATATGATGAATTTGAGATTTTCATTTGTTGTCATTTGTAATCATCAAAATTAAACAAAATAAACATCTGAAATATATGAGTTTGTATGTAATGTATGAATATAATATACAAGTTTCACTTTTTAAATGGAATTACTGAAATCAATCTACTTTTTCATGATATTCTAATTTTATGACCAGCACCTGTATGTCGGGTGATGGAAACGTTTCCGTGTTGTCATGGGGTTGGTGTAAGTAAGAGCTGTTATCAGCGTAACTGCTGGGCCAGAACCAGCAGCAGACATATATCATGTTTTGTCACATTGAGTGATGACAGAGAGACATTGCAAGGAGATAGATGAGCATGGCTGTGTGCTGGAGGAGTTGCTTTGTGCCGTTTTTTAAGTGAGAAGGACCGCTTTTGCTATTTGGTGGAGGTTTAATAGGGAGATGTCAGATTCCTACAGCAAAGAAGGGCTTTGAAGGCAGGTTTTTGGTGTTATGATGTTTTTGTGTAATGGAATACAGAGCAATGTGCCCAATTATCAATCACAGTCTTGGTGCATCTCCCCCTAAAAAATGTTTTTAGGGTTCCTCCATGTTTTACACTCTGTCTTGTGCCTGTTTAGTCACCAACTCTGGTGGCTGCTGTCTGCTCTAATTTAAGTGGTAGTGTTTTTCCTGTGCAGGTGGTGCTTCTGTTTGCATGCCGTCTGATCCCAGTGATGGACACAGAAAGCCTATATTCATATGGGCCAAAACCAAAGTTTTGCTTCTTCTTTGCATGTAAAGGTGGAGCTCAACAAAAGATATGTAATTCAGGAACAAGACATTAAGTTAAATAGGTTTATTCTGCACAGAGTGATATGTTACAAGTAATATTTGTTAAATTTGATGTAGTTATTACTCACAGTGCGAAATGCTGATTTAATTTTAAATGAGTAATAATGGTATCAACATGCTAAACTGGGTAGCAAGCACTGAGCAATACATGCAAATAATATGAAGGCTGCAATAAATGGAATTTATAATTCATATTTCTTTTTATTTCACAGTTCATGCATGTACTTTTCAGTAGGCTAACATTCAATTAACATTCATTGCAAGTCTACAATTTTAGCCTTTTGTGCATTATGAATTATTCAATTCTTATAAATCACCTTTTATAATAATATAGTCTTGCTTGCATCTGTAGGGTTGCAGTTTTTAAATCAAAGTAATCTACAAATGATGATTAATAAAAAAATCTTATGATTCTATTTGTCATGGTTTTCAAAGGGTTAAACTTTACTTTTAACTGACCAGCACTTTACAAAATGTGATCACATGCAAGTCAGCATGAGTAGATTTAAAACAAGTAAAAAGCAAAAACAAAAGCTGAGACTTGCAACCAAATCTATATGCACTTATTAATCAATAATTGCAACAACCGTTTATGGCATGTAGCCAGTTTGTCTACACCAGCTGTTTGCCATGTTTAAACAGTCACACTTGTTTAAACATGTCACACTTTGTTTTACTAATCAAACAGCAGCCTCTAGGGATAACAAATGTTGAGGGTTCTGTAGGAAACAGGAATATATAGAAAAGGGTAAAATGGTTGATTTTGTGAAGCCAGCAGATATCATTCAGCCTTATTAAAGCCAACACATTTCGGATACTTTTTTTTTTCAAAACTTACATTACATTTTTATACCTTTTTAATATGTTGCTGCTGCATATTGAAAACTTCTAGGATATTGTTATGGCTGTGATTTACTGACCTAAATTATTAACCTCCTTACAAATCGTGGACAGAGTAGCTAGAGAAACATCTATCAGTCTTTTTGCCTCACTTTTCCCGAAGGTGTAAAAAATTATGTAAATTGGTACAACTATTTATTAACGTGATCAGAAAGCCAGAGACGAAGAATTTAAAAAAGTGCAGGTCATCATCTTAAATTTATTTGTCTTTTAACACCAGGTTCTTCCTGACTAACAGACCATAGACTGGTGTTTTAGCATTTCATTGTAGAACTTAAAGATATATATAAAAAAATTATATATATTTCAAAATAAGAATCTCCATATTTCATAAGGTAGATTTTTACAAAAGGTGGTTCAACA